ATGATGTTGACCTTTTCTGATTCTGGTGACGTCAGTCAACTAAAACTTGGACTCTTTCGACTGCCCAAGCCTCTTCATGAATATGCATGTACCCTCATCTTAAAACCTCCCCAATTTTGCTGTTAGGAGAGATGCTGCTTTGAGAAAGATCCTCGGTGGTCTCCTTACTCGCTACAAGTAATAATAAATCTTTCCTTCTCCCGATCATTGGCTTGGTTGTGTCTTTTGGCTCAACATTCTCCAAGAGGCGAACCCAGTTTTCAGGTAATGATCTGATGGTATCTCCAGTGCCAGAATTGAGCTGAATGGTAGAACATTCAGCTAGTGTCTGGAGAATTACTTGATGCTGTGAGAAAACACTCCCTTCTGCACATGGAAAATTGAATCTCAGAACACATTTACTCTGAATATTTTTCCAAAGAAGACATACAGATGGCCAACAAGTACATGAAGAAGTGCTGAACATCACTCATCATCAGGGAAACACAAGCCAAAATCACAATGAAATATCACTTCGCATCTGTTAGAATGGCTATTATCAAAAAGCAAGAAATAACAAGTGTTGGCAAGGATGTGGAGAAAAGGGAGCCCTTGTGCGCCATTGGTGGGAATGTAAATTGGTGCAGCCACTACAGAAAACAGTATGGAAGTTCCTCAAAAATGTCTAAATAGAACTACCCCATGATTCAGCAATCTCACTTCTGGGTACTTCTCGGAAGAAAACAAAAATAGTAACTTGGAAAGATACATGCATATATATATATCTCTACACAAAAACCTGTATGTGATTTTTCAAAGCAGCATTATTCATAAGAGCCAAAAGGTGGCAACAACCGAAATAGCTATCAATCAATAAATGGATAAACAAAATGTGGTAAATCCATACAATGGAACAGTATTCAGCCATAAAAATAAATGAAGTACTGAAAGATGTCATGAAATGGACAGTCCATGAAGGCGTTAAGTGATGTAAGGAGCCAGACACCAAAGTCCACATACCGCACGATTCCATGCACCAGAAATGTCCAGAAAATAGGCAAATCCACAGAAACAGAATAGATTGCCTAAGGCTGAGGGTGGGGAAGAGGCGGGTAGAAGGAAGTGACAGATAAGGGGGCTGGGGTCAGTTTCTTTCAGGGGTAATGAGACTTAAGTGGGGCGACACTGAAGTGTATGCTTTAAATGGGTAATTGTATGATATATGAATTATATCCCAATAAATCTGTTTACTTACAAATACATAATGAGAATTAAAAAAGGACTCAAAACATCAACTACATACATTTTGGAGGATCGAGCCATAATAAGTGTGTGTTAAAAGCCCAGGGGCCGGGCATGCGTGGTAATGAGCTCACTGTCAGCTGGAGGCGAGTCATCCTTGGGTTGGTTCTACAGAGATGCTGAGGTCAACTGAGGCTAGCTTTGCGGAGAAAGGATGCCCAAGGAAATCGAGGAATGCTCCCACCAGCCACTGCTCTCCTCTCGCAGTTCTCCAGCGATCATCTCTCAGATGGCTCCTGGGAGTCTTGTTAAAGGACAGACCCTGGCTCAGCAGGGCTGAGTGGGGCACATGCTCCTGCCTTTCTAACAGGCTCCCCGGTGACACCTTGCTGCCGGGTCATGGGCCACATCACCGAGTAGGAAGACAGCAAACTGAGGCTCAGAGACGCCAGGTAACAACCCAGGCCACCCACTCATAAGTGGCAGAAGGTCTGAATTCAGGTCTAACTGACTCCAAAACTCAACTTCTTCCCACCCGGGCACATACTGCATGGGTTCTGGACACCATGTTCCAGGAGAAGCCAGACCTGAAAGAGGATTCCAGGGTGGGATGGGCTCTGGAGCCCACATCAAAGGAGGACCCATGGAGAAGGAGAAACATGTGGGCGATCTTAAAAGTGACTCAGGAGACAGGGCAGCTGGCCTCCAGCCTGGGAAACTCTGCCCCGGGGAACAGTCATGCCCACCTACCTGGATGGCCCCCGGGGTGGGCACTGGGCCAGTGAGGAGACATATGGGCATACTGGTTTGGGCTCCTTAAGAAGAATGTCAGAGCTGTCCCAGAATAGAACAGGTTATCCCAGGAGTAGAGACCCAGAAACCACCCTCGAGGCATCATTTGCTATGATTATAAAAAGAAATCTTACAATGACAAATCTTTAAATTCTAGCTAAGAGTGCTCAGCTAGGAGACTTTTTTTTTTTAAAGAGATTAACAAATGTTAGGTAAGCGTTAAAGGCATATTAATCAGAAACGGATACTTTCACCTTGATATATTTCAGATTGAAATAAAATTCAAAAGACCATCCTTTCTCTCCTTCTAAAGTTCAACTGCACCACTTGAAATCATCTTGGAAAGCGCTGGGCCTAATGATCTGAACATTCTTTCAAGCGTGAGCCTCTGGACCCCTGCACCCCTTCTCCAAAGCAAAATAGCCCTAGTTTTCTCAAGCCCTGTTCAAAAGGTTTCAAGCCTCTCATCCCCCGGTTGCTCTCCATGGATAAGCACCAGTTTGTTTCATCTGCAGCCTGAGCAGCACCAGAGAGAATGGAGCTGTAATTGAGCTGGAACATGATCCTTCCATTAACGCAGCCCCAGGTCAGGTCCGCGGTCCAGCTACCCACGTCAATGGCCTTGCTCACCGTGCTTCCAAGGATGAGAATTGCCACCTGGGTCTTTCTATCCAGGTGGTGGAGAGGCACAGCCTCCCTGGCCCATCCTTGATCTTTGGCTGCTTTGGGTGGATTGTATGACATTGAGCCAATGTTTTGGATTAGTAGAAAGAATAATGGTTTTACAATTAGGGTGGTTCACAATCAGACTAGACTGCCCTGGTTTGATGTTGGCTTCCTCTCCATGAGGTATGCAAGCAGAATCTGTCAGGGAGGTGATTTGGCTGCCAAAGTTTGGCCAGCAACTCACAAGAAATTTAAAATACTGTTCTATAATGCAACACTCAGAGACAGAGGAAAGCCCATGATGGAAGGAGACTGCACATGCCATGCCCACGCTCTGCCCTGGATGGTCCAAAGCATCAGATTTTTCTACCACAAATCATTTCATTCTCACAACTACCCTGTGAAGTAGCTAAGATGTCCACACTTTGCAGATGACCAAACTGAGGCTCAGAGAGGCTAAATAACTTATCTGGGTCACCCAGTCAGTTGGCAGAGCCAGGAGGCTGTCTGTTGAATCCGATGCCAAGGTCCCGGTTCACCTTGCTCTACTCTGCAGGTCCCAGGAAGAAACAAGAAAAGCAAAAGGCCATCAGCTGATGGGAAGCTGGAATGCTAGGAATTTTGATTTAATACAGGAGATAAGACAACTTTCTTCATGAGAAATTTTTCAATCTTTGTAAATACTTGAGATCAGTTAATCATTTTAAAATAAGAGGAATAGCAAAACAAGGGGAAATAAATGAAAGATAAGGCCCTTGGGAGGTACAGAGGCAACTAAGGAAGAGATGGGCTTGGCAGCCTTTGGCTATATCTCCTCGGTGGCATAAACCAGCCTCTGATTCAAGAAACAGTCCAGAATGAACCCACGGAGCAGCCAGACCGAGGGCACGTGCTTCTCAAGCCACCCTCACGAAAAGCCCGTCCGGTTTCTTCCAAGAGAGAGCTGGAAAGCTGCACTCCAGGCACACCTCGCTGCACGCACTTCACTTCACTGGGCTTTGCTGTTTGTTTATTTGTTTGTTTTAACAAATTGACGGTTTGCAACAACCCTTTGTCGGCATCATGGCGACCAGGGCTTGGCTCAACAGAAACAGGAGATGTCCTGAACCTTGACCAGAAAGCTCTCACACATAGCCCAGCCTCCCTCAGCCTTGGAGCGACGAGGAGGCTCCGCCAACATGCCCCAGACTCCCAGGCAGCTCGCCAAGCACACTCGTGTCTCGGGATTAGCAACAAAAGAAGCGCTGATGACAGTCTGCGTGCTAAATAACGTTCCCTGGTCAACGAGGTCACCCTGGGCTTTGCGACACCCATGGAGCAGGGCATCCCCTGACTACAAACCCCAGATGAACACGCAGGGTGAAAGGCAGAGCCCATCTCCAGGGGGCGGGGCCTGGCTGGAGAGAGGAAGGAGGCACATCTGCAAGTTATCTTAAAACCCAGACCTTTCACCAGACACCACTCCACTTAAAGAAGCCTAACTCATTAAGGATTTTTTTCTTAACTTCTTATTAGGAAAGCAATATATAGGAATCACAGGAAATCTGTAAAACACAGAAAAGTCTAAGAAAGGAAAGCATTTCTAGATAGGACTGAATTTAAATTGAGGCTCCCTTGAGGCCAGAGGTGAGGCGCTTTGTTTACAGCTCACTGGTGGCCTGGGCTCCAGGGGGGCTGACAGGCGGGAGCCCTTCACCCACCTCACACGCTCCCCGCCAACAGCCCCGGACCCCTGCCTCGTATGCAGCTAAGCATGGCCGTCCACATGTGCTCAGAGCACTCACTCCGAGAAGCTGAAATTGGTCACAATGCAGAGGAAAAATAAATGAGTTACAGATTACAGCAACCTCACCGCCAGAAAGGAAACTGCTCTGGACAGCTGCGTGGCCCTGGGCAAGTTCCTTGACCATCAGATGGCCTCATTTCTGCATCTGTAGGGCCAGGCAGGGGTGCTCAGAAGGGTCCCTGTGCTCACAGGGCTGTGGTGACACTCCCAAAAAGGGCTCCACCCTGTGTGTGCAACCCATACATGTTACTAATGAGGACAGCAAGTGCCACCCTCGAAAGCAGCTCTGAATGCTGTCACTGCGGGCAAGAAGGTGCCTAGTGCCTTTAACACGAAAGCCATTATGTGACTCAAATAAACAGAAATTAGGATGCCCTACTGAATCTCTAACAGCTGGAAAAACATCCGTCCTGCCTTGATGTTCTTCTAAGTCCAGCCTAAGAGTACAGCCCTCGTTTCCTAGGTATTTGATTCCATCCACCGTAAACAATGAAGTCAGAATCCTTGTTTATTACATTCACTAATAACCACCAACCTGTCTTTGTGTCCTGAGGATTAACCAAGACCAAGATTTTGTGCTGTGGTGCATCGTGGTACACAGCACAAAAGCAAACTGATGAAGCTTCAAGTTTCACCTGAAAAAAATAATAAAATCACAATTTCGTTCTGTTATCATGGTAAGGGCCCAAGAAATTGCTTCACAATTAATCAGCACAAGAGTCACTGGAAGAACACGGCGCACAGAGGTTAACTCGACAGGATGGAGGCAACACCAAAATGGAAACCTCACTCTTTCCAAGCTAAACGAGAGAATTTGATGAAGGCCCTGTTTCTGTCTCCCACCCAGCAAACCCTCTCTTCCCCTCGCTCACCTGTCTGTCTTTCCAGGCAACAATTAAGCACCTCCTCAGCTGACACCCTTGTGATCCCTCCTTCCAGGCACTCCCTGTCCCAGCAGGAATCCCCTCCTCCACCAGCATCCCAACCTCAGGCCCCGCCTGCAGAGCCGGCCCTGACCGTCCTCCTGCAGCCACTCTCTGCAAACAGCCTGGACAAGCCTGCATCTCAGGCTGCCCGTTGCCCTGGTTCAGGTCCCTGTGAGCCGCCTCAGGAAACGCACACCCTCTCTGGGCCTCACGGGCTCAGCTCTGGCTCTGAGTCAGCAGAGGTGGGGACCCTCAGGGCCTGTCTGCTTATGAACACGACGGATGCCAAGCAGTACATGCCAGATCTCTGATGATAGGACTGTCCCAGAACTGTCTCCAGCACCTACGTGCCAAGCCCTTTTCATGGCCATCAGCCGTCCAACCCACTGCTCCCAGCTCCCAAAGCAAAAGGGCAACACGTTTCATTGCAAAGTCTGCTTTGAAAAGCAAGGAGAGTATAAGAAAATGAGAAAATGACATAACAGCCGAGCGAGGCAGGCAGGCTGCTTGTAAAAGTTGACAACAGGCCTCCGCGGCTTGAAAGAATTCTTTCTTAGCAAATCCTGAGAACTACACACATCTCAACGCCTCCCCATCTTCAAGTCACATTAATGTGCTGGCGCTCCACAGCAGTCACCTGAAGCTGGGTTCACTCACCAGACGGCCGTCACAAGGCCATTAAAAACAATACATACAGAGCATTGTATCAACATGGAAAGATGCTTATTATAGACAATATTGTATTCTGAGTGTGATCTGAATCTTTAAAAAAAGAAAAAAGGTGTGACCAGAAAGAAAACTCAATGGAAATATTTCAAAATGTTCACAGCAGTTAACGCAGGTGATTTTGCTTTCTCTCTCCTTGGCTATAAGTCCCCAATAGTTAGTACATGTTGAGCATACACTATTCTACAATCAGGAAAAATCAATAAATGTTATTGCATTTTAAATATAAGACAATTTCAAGACTGAAAACAGAGTTGATTTTAAAAAGAAAAGACCTTGAGGAAGACCAGAGTGATTATTGGCTGTAGACTCATCTTTCCTTGTCTTTTCTGTTTGGAAAAATTTCTCTGGGTTGAAAAAGAAAAATTCACCAAAAGCAATGAGGAGGTCCAATATCATTCCAAATCAGACTATTCCAACCTGCTAAATGGCGGGAAACTGCTCTCATTTTTAAATTAGCTGCTAAAATGGTAGGAAGACCAATGATTAGCTGAGGGACTTTTTTAGAAGAAGGAGAAGCAAATAGATGGAAAGCCATTTCAGCATTTCTATCACATTAAAGCAACTTAATTTTAGTAATTGCCTCATTTTATTATGTTTTTGCTAATAACACTAAAACTATCCACTCACTGAGCATACTACACCAGAGGTGGGTTTTGTTTTGTTTTGTTTTGTTTTTAAATAATGTCATTCACAAATAAGTGTGAAAGAAAAGCAGATGACTGAAACTGCATCGTACTTCAGGGCTAGCTCCTGTATTTCACCACACTTCTCAGATTACCTAGCATTCACCGCACTCCATCCAACAACCCTCCAGCCCAGCAGACCCCTGGCTCACTTAAGAGTAAACCCCCAGTGTCGATCGAGAGCTTGCTTGCTTTCTGGATAACTGTCACTAGTGGGGGCTGAAAGCGTGTTCGTACCTCCCTCGACATAACAACGAGGAATCACCCATGGGAACTGGATTCTTCAGGAGTCAATTACAAACCAGCATCTCCAAAATCACAAGGAAGCCACACTATATAAACTGTACAAGCCTTTGTTTTCATTAACTGTTCCAGAACAACTTCAGTACAGCGAAATAAAACCCTGTCTTCCTCAACCAACTTCGCCTACCAGACAGCAATGATTTCTGGTATGAATGAAACCTTAACATGTATAAAACAAGAAAGTCTTATCTCTTTCAATAGAGCAGATTCAAATCTGAAAGAAAGGTGATCAGCTTAGGTACAGCCCAGGAATCACATATTCTTTTCACTTTTTTCAGGGTAGGGGAAAGGTCTTAAAAGTGACAATTTTTAAATTTCACCCACAATCCCACCATCTTAACAAATAAACAGTTTTCATTCCTTTCTGTCCTCTTCCAGTCCATAGTCAAAATGCAATCTTATCAGTGCTAAAAATCATAATCGATATAACTTCAGTCCAAATCATAAAATTTTTAGGAATAAGGTTATAATAAATAAACTTAGAGACCTAAGACCAGTCTTCCTCTCATCTGAAAATGGGAAAACTGAGGCTAGCCAGGCACTACACACAGGATCTCATCTAATCCTCATAACAACAGTATGAGATAAGCACTGTTGTTGTCCCAATTTTTGAGATGACTATAGCAAGACCAGAGAGGTGAAGACACCTGCTCCAGGTCACACAGCTATTTAGTGGTAGACATGGAAGATCCAGCTGGCTGACTGCCTTGTAGAACTGGACTTACCCTCAGGATTCCAGAATCCCAATCCAGGATTCTTTTTGCTTTTCAAAATGAAATTATTCTAGTATTCACTCTAGAAGGAATTTTTTTTTCATCTGTAATACTCTCACTAACATTCTCCTTTGTCACAAGTAAGAGTTTACAGAGCTCTCTACCAATGAGGAAGACCACACCTACCTGCTCTCCAGTGGGAAGAGAGAAAACCTCTGGTGAGCTCCGTGCCCCTTCCCTAAGTGTGGCACAGTAAGCCAGGGCCGCTTCCCCGTGCCCTGCGGGGTCATCTTCCAAAATACTCACAGGGTAAACACCTGCTGGGGGAAGAAGAAGGCAAAAAATGACATGAGCTCTACTCTTTCATTGAAAGAGAAGTCACTTCTTGAATTTCTTTTTTAAGCAGCCAATTGAACACTTGCTTTAAAAATTATGTTCACCTATTTTTTTAAGTGAAAAAAAAAAAACAGTGCAGCAGCAGGTAACAACAGAAAACATTAGCCATTCCTGATGGCAGAGATGGAACCAATCCCAAGGAGATATGAGGTTCAAGGTGAACCCTCCAAGCTCACGGTGGAACCTTCCTTTCTTACGCCCAAACCACTACATGGCTTCCCAAGTATTTCCCAGTAGGGCAGCCGCAATGGCCACGTGTCCAAAGAGGAACTTGAGAGCTGACACCATCTGCTTAGAACCTTGATAACTTTGACAAAATCCAGCCTGAGTTATTGCTTGGCCAGTTTACATTCACCGTGAGGTTAAGATTTGCCAATTCTCCTCTGCTTGGGCTACTGTACTGTAAGAGAGTTCAAATGTACTTAGTTAATCTAAACTATAAAACTACTTGTGTAAACCTACATGTCTGTATACAGATAGACTATCGCATGTCTTAATCCCGGCTCCACTCAGCATCTCTTTCTTATCACACTTCCAGAGGAAAATTATATCCCTGAGTCATCATATGAGTTGATAGCATCCAATTCTGCCTAGAACCAGCAGTTGGTTTTCCCTTGAGATGCTGACTCATCTCTGGCTGGCATGTCCCCGAGCGGGAGGGGGTTCTGTAGCCCCTGCCCTTCTGTGGACCCCACCTCTGATTCACCTCCAGGCCTCCTATGGTGGGGAGGGTGCCAGAGCAGCTGTCTCCTCCTCCCCTCCTCCTCCTCCACTTCTGCCTCCTCAAGAAAGAGAAGCCTGCACAGAAATGCCCACTGAGATACCAGCTTCCTGCTTTCCCTCCCAATCACCATTCCTGCTGCCAGCCACTTCTCCAGAACAAAGATTGCTCTTAGCAGCAAAAAGTTTCACATCTCCTGTCCACCAAATTGACATATGATGGATTTTATGCTGTTGATTAGTTACTGGATGGTGTCAAGAGCAGCAGTGGACCAACCTCAGTCTCTGTGTGAGCCCCCCGGCCCCGCCCCCACCTGCCATGGTGAAGACATCACGGGCACACACAGAGTGGCCAAGAGCTAGTAAATACCTCCCACTAGTCAATTTTCTTAAACATGAGTATGAAATTTGTGCAAAAAAATTACAACTATAAATGAACTGATATGAATGTTTCAAATAAAGACATGAAAAATTAAGTCCATTCAATGACGATGAACAAGTCAATGATGAACCTGGGAGTCTCTCTGTCTAAAAAACATTGTGCCTCTAAGTAGCAGAGATATTCTGCTGCAGAAGGCACACACTTGTGTGTGTGGGGGGGGTGTTTTCTCTAAACACACACACACACATTCAACAAAGCCCAGGCTCC